CCGGGGTTCGATCCCCGACGGGGGCAGAGGATTTTTCCTCTAGCCTCTGCGTCCAGACTGGCTCTGGGGCCCACCCAGCCTCCTCTACAATGGGTACCGGGGTCCTTTCCCGGGGGTAAAGCCGGCCGGGGCGTGATGCTGACCACTCACCCCCATCTAGTGCCGAGGTCAAGGAAGAGAGGAGCTATACCTCCACTCCCCCCCAAGCGCCTACATGGCGTATAGTGGGACAAACTTTACTTTTACTTTATCAACCAGAGTTTAGAGAAAGTCAGTCTGAAATGCACATTCTTTAATCTAGGATTATTCAGCAATGTTGACATGGAAACATTGTTGTCTACATATTGGATTCAGACAGTGGACAACTAGGTCTTCGCCAGGTTAAATGCTAAACCGCCCTTGGCCTTCAAGAACGTATAAGAACTTCAAAGAACAGAGTACTTCCTCAGGAGGTAAGGTAAGCAGGACAGAAAATTCCCCCGTCCTTTATTCAACTGGAAGATTTCTGTTTTCTGGGTTGTAGCGCCGTGTAATCTGGTGGACGTTTACCGACGTTTCAGAGGTCCTTGGCTGCCTCCACCACCAGGGCGATGCAGTTATGATGGAGCTGTAACCCAGAAGATGGCTATCGTCGGACGCCACGCGGTGAACACCTCGAATCCAACTTAAATTTTCATTATATTGTTCACAACAGCCAACCACTAATTCCTAATGTACCTATTTTAATATTATCCTCCCATCTCTCTCAACTGGTCTCTTTGCTTAAGGTTTCAAGGCTAATTTCTTGTGTATAGATCCCTCATCTGTTCCAAGCGACTGCAACCCCCCTCCCCCAAATCTCAACCACTTTTTGTTTGATAAAATGCACAAAATATGAAGATCGCGATTCTGTAATTTATAAGCGCCTGGGGGAAAACTAATACTGAAGTCCAGAGTGCGTGGTCTCGATTTAATCTCGATGAGTCTTAGGCACAGAGACAAATTGATTTTCCATGCAGACTATTTAAACAGCGAAACGTTATGAAAGCAAGTACACAGAAAAATTTGTGTCTGAAGGCGTCTAATGTGATTTATTTTTCCATCATAATTGTCTCTGTGGGCAACAACACATTCTGCGGCGAGAGACGTGTCCCCCCACCCCAGTCCCGAGCTACGTACCCGATACTGACACGGAACAGCGAGTGGCACGAGGTCAAAGTTCGGACTGGGAGCGGAGTGGCTTTGACGGATTGTCAATCCAAATTATCAATGAATGTGCAAACGTTTTCTTCTTTTCTTACAGAAGAAATATAAATGCGATGACATCTCCATTTGGGATCTACGTGTGCCTTATGCCCAGTGTGCCAAACCTAAGAAAAATATTTCCACTATTCTCGCGCAATTACAAAGGCGCCTAAATACTAAGCACGTTATATTGATATCAAAGTCAGATGTACAGTATTTTTAAACGTCTTTTTTTTAAAGTTGTCTCTGCTGGTGTAACAATATGACGAAATACTGTGTACCATACCTACTTAACTTTCCCCGCGCTTAGATTTTCATTTCCTCCGATTTTACAACACATAACACCACTCAAAAACCAAAATTTCAGACTTAGTAAACGCCTGACAACGAATGAGTTCCTGTTTTCGTTCGGGGGGTACACACCCCAGTTGTCCGACTTAGCCAGACTGCTCTATTATTATTATTAGGGTGGTAACATTGAGAAGAACGTAGAATGTGCAAAATTTCAGTACGATAAAGATAATGGATTACACCACATGGAAGACCTGGATATGAACGAGAGAAGAAAAATGTTAAAAAAGAATCTTGAAAATATGAACCGCGAGTGGCTAATGAAAGGTTTAAAACCACATGTTGTCAAGTGGTAAGGCGTTTTAACGGAGTGGCTCGTGACAGGCGGAGAAGGGCTGTCCGGAACAATTCTGAGGCCACCTGTAATAATCGATTTACCACACCAATTAACCGAAAATTAAGCTGTCCATCCCACCGCCCATTCATTACTCGCTTTATCACTGCCACTTTTTCTCTTGTACATCGCCGAAGTCCAACACGCAACATGCCTTTTAAAAAGTTATTGCCTTCCAAAAGTCCCGTTAAACCCCATAAATGTAACAGTCGAGTATCAATTAATTTGCTTCTGAGCCGAAGAAAATATGTAATCTCTTTTTCTCTTCTGAAGGAACTAATAATACAAACACTTCATTGATCGTTGTTTCAAAAACGGAAATATACCTTCTTTTGTATTGACGTAAAACTTAAAAATTTTGTTGCCATAAACAAAAGACGTATATGCTATTTACCTCTACGTTATATACAATTGGGGGGAACCACACATGACTTTAGCAGCGTACTTAGTAGTGTTTTAAGTCCCCTGGTCACCACTGGGGGTCCGACACGGTGGGGCCCCATGCGGCCAGCTTATTCCTAGACTGAGATCAATAATTACTTTACGAGAAAATAAGGGCCACGACGAATTAAATATACAGAACTGAAGCTGAAGGAAAACGTGGTTTTCTGCATTCCGACGCCGTGCAGATGGTTACTAACGTTTCTGAGAAATCTATTGCCTCCATCCTCTGAAACGTCTTCCCTCAAGATGAAAGCAATGCCTTCCCCTGAAAAGTTAATAGCCGTCCACAAGATTACACGGCATCACTATATATAAACACGCACGCACAATATCAACAAACGGAATCAGAATGAAAGGCAAGACGTTGTAACAGTAATATTCACTGTCATGTACGCAAAATAAAAAGTAGCAAGCCATTAATATTTACCGGATGGCCCCTGTGCGAAGTAGGATATTATGTAACATCCTTGCAGCACGCGTGACGTCATGCAACAGGTGAAAGCAGCCCGCCTGTAGTAACAATATGTGAGATTGGGAACCAGGATAAAGCCTCTCTGCGTACTTAAACAGCGGCATATAACTAAAACATAGCCGCCTCATTTCCTCGTTTGAATGTTTTGTGAAAATGGCACTTACATTTCAGTTTCAGTACTTGTGAAATGCATTTTACAGAACTGAGGCAGGACCCGGTGACGAGATCTTTTGAATATGGTAAAAG